CTGTCTGGAAATGCGGCCCTGACTCACCCTCTGCGCGTTCACCGAGAGCTTCAATCCTGGGTTGTTCTCACTGCGCCATATTGAGTCCGTCCTTTTTTTTTTTTTTTTGAGACGGAGTTTCGCTCTTGTTACCCAGGCTGCAGTGCAATGGCGCGATCTCGGCTCACTGTAACCTCTGCCTCCTAGGTTCAGGCAATCTCCTGCCTCAGCCTCCTGCATAGCTGGGATTAGAGGCACGCGCCACCATGCCCAGCTAAATTTTTGTATTTTTATTAGAGACGGGGTTTCACCATGTTGACCAGGATGGTCTTGATCTCTTGAACTTGTGATCCACCCGCCTCGGCCTCCTAAAGTGCTGGGATTACAGGTGTGAGCCACCACGCCTGGCACAACTTACTGAATCTTTCTAAACATCAGTATTCTTATGTATAAACTGGGGTTAATCATCTTATTTATCATCGGTTTGTTTTGAAGCTTAAAGGGTGTCATGTATGTAAAGCATAAAATAGAGCCAAGCAAATTCTACGGAGCATTTCCTGGAGGGAGCATGAGGAGACTGGAGATCCAGGGTGGAGATGTAGCTTTATGGCATATGATTGGTAGTTGAAATAATCAGATGAGCCAAAGACATTACAATTTCTAATTGTGATGGTGTGACATTATCATTTTAGCACCTACTCACCATAGTTTGCTTAGGAAAGCAATAATAGGAGTTAACTTTTTGTTATATTAGACATTTTCTCTACTGTTTCCTTGACATGAAAACAGTGCTTTCTAATATTTTTTTCCCCACATTTAATTCAGATGCTGTGTTGGTACTTTGTGGTCAGACATTAAAAAATAATATTTTCGGCCGGGCACGGTGGCTCATGCCTGTAATCCTAGCATTTGGGAGGCCAAGGTGGGTGAATCACCTGAGGTCAGGAGTTCAAGACCAGCCTGGCCATCATGATTAAATCCCATCTCTTTTAAAAATAAAAAATAAAAAAAAATAATGTTTGCTGCCAGTATTATGTTCTACCTCCTGCTCTATTCTGGGAATCATCAAATTCGTGGAGCCTAGATATTCTCTGAGTCTGCAAATATCTTCCTAAGGAGAGAACATGTTGTAGGACTGGCAACAGCAGCTTTAGTTATTACCCATTGGATTCTAGTTGTGTTAGCATTGATGGCTGGTAGTTGCCCTTAGCTGTGTCTTGATCTAATGATTTCACTTATGAAAATTTATTTATTTATTTATTTAATTTATTTTTTTCAATACCTATTTCTAATACATATTTATTTTTTTGACACGGAATTTTGCTCTTGTCATCCAGGCTGGAGTGCAATGGCATGATGTCGGCTCACTGTAACCTCCGCCTACCAGGTTCAAGAGATTTTCCTGCCTCAGCCTTCTGAGTAGGTGGGATTAAAGGCATGTGCCACCATGCCTGACTACTTTTTGTATTTTTTTTTTTTTTTGAGACGGAGTTTCGCTGTCATTACCAGGCTGGAGTGCAATGACGCGATCTCGACTCACCGCAACCTCTGCCTCCTGGGTTCAAGCAATTCTCCTGCCTTAGCTTCCCGAGTAGCTAGGACTACAGGCACGCGACACCATGCCCAGCTAATATTTGTATTTTTAGTAGAGATGGGGTTTCACCATGTTGACCAGGATGGTCTTGATCTCTTGACCTTGTGATCCACCCTCCTTGGCCTCCCAAAGTGCTGGGATTCTAGGCGTGAGCCACCGCGCCCAGCCTACTTTTTGTATTTTTAGTAAAGACGGGGTTTCCCCATGTTGGCCAGGCTGGTCTCGAACTCCTGACCTCAGGTGATTCTCTCACCTTGCCTCCCAAGGTGCTGGGATTACAAGCGTGAGCCATTGTGCCTGGCTGAAAATTTATTTAAAAAAATAATTCAACAAAGAAAAGATTAAAGCTCAGAACTTTTCAGTATATATGAAATTTTTACATTTTCAGTGTAAAAACTTGTAACCAGCTTAAATATTAATTAATACTCAAGCAAATGATGATATATCATGGTCCCTACAGAATAATGTGCTGTAAATAAAAATTATACTTATGACAATGGTACATTATGGAAATTATTTTCTCTATGGTGAACAAATAAGACAACATACAGAATGATACCTACAATGATTATAGCTATGTTATATAACATTGAAAAATAACTTTGTACTTATGCATATATGTATGTGTGTTAGAAACCAGTGTTAAGGTATAAAAGAAGTAAATCTGTTCAGTAGTGATATGAAAGTTTGACTCTAAATAAGAAAGCTAAATTGGTTGCTCTTGTTTGAAGGACTTTTAATCAGTGCTGAGGGGAAAAGGAAAAAATGTGTGGCAGTACATTGACCTCTGTAAAGATATCAGGTGATGCTGGATGTGGTGGCTGACACCTTAAATTGTAGCACTTTGGGAGGTCTAGACAGGCAGATTGTTTGAGCCCAGGAGTACCAGACCAGCCTGAGCAACATGGTGAAACCCCATCTCTTCAAAAAATACAAAATTTAGCTGGGTGTGGTGGTGCATGCCTGTAGTCCTAGCTACTTGGGAGGCTGACGTGGGAGGATCACTTGAACCCAGGAGGTGGAGGTTGCAATGAGCTGAGATCATACCACTGTACTCCAGCCTGGGTAACAGAGCCAGACCCTGTCAAAACAAAAGCAAAAACAAAAACAAAAAAAACCCCAAAAAACTTTTTTTTCCTTTTTTCTTAAAATTATTATTATTATTTTTTTAAAGAGGGTTTCACCATGTTGGTCAGGCTGGTTTTGAACTCCCGACCTTAGGTGATCTGCCCGAGTTGGCCTCCAAAGTGCTTGGATTACAGGTGTGAGCCACCATGCCTGGCCGGAAACTTTTTTTTTTTTTTAAGACGTCAGGTTAAAGCTAGAAGGGCAATGGTGAGTCTGTGTCTCACTGAGAATAAAATATCTAAGCACCGGAAAAGGAGATCATAAGAAGCTGAGAGGCAAATAATGATGTGCTGTACCTTCTTTGTGCAAAGCTGTAATAAGGAACACACGAAGCAGAGCTCAGGTGCTTCAGTCAGCTTTTCAGAATGTTCTAAAAAATGCTTAATAAAAAACACCACGTCCACTAAGGAGAGAGGAAAACTTGAAGACACATTGAAAGCATATAAGCCTCCTTTTGCAAGAGTTATTTCCCACTCACAGGGAAAGCAAAAAGAGGTTCATGAATCCCGATACACTGAAAGACCTTCGACCTTGTTGTGTTCTGCATATCACTCAGAAATCAAAGGAGAGCATCTTGAACGTATTGGAAAGGAATAGGTCTGCTAATCTGAAGAAGAATTTGAAAATGTTATTGCTTCACCAAGTTAAAGGAAAGGAAAGCCTGATACAGGAGAAAAGGAAATTGTCCTAAATGCAAGGTAGCATCCTGGATTGGATCCTGGAGCAGAGAAAGGACATTAGTGGGAAAACTTGTGAAATTCAAATAATGTCTGGGATTTAATAGTAATGTACCAGTGTTAGTTTTGTAGTTTTGAGAAATGTAAATGTCAGATTTGATTAGATAATTAATATTTGGGGACAATTTTTTTTGAGACATGGTCTTATTCTTACCAGGCTAGAGTGCAGTGGCACTATCATGGCTCACTGTATCCTCAGTTTCCCAGGTTCAGCTGATCCTCCCATCTCAGGCTCTGTAGTAGCTGGGACTATGGGCGCATGTCACCATGCTCAGATTCTTTTCTTTTTGTAGAGACGGGGTTTTCTCCATGTTGCCTAAGCTGGTGTTTTTTTTTTAAAAAGGTAGTTTGCGCAGGGCATGGTGGCTCTCCTGTGTAATCCTAGCACTTTGGGAGGCTGAGGCAGGGTGGATCACCTAAGGTCAGGAGTTTAAGACCAGCCTGGCTAACATGGTGAAACCTTGTCTCTACTAAAAATACAAAAAATTAGCTGAGAATGGTAGCACATGCCTGTAGTCCCAGCTACTCAGGAGGCTGAGGCAGGAGAATCATTTGAACTCAGGAGGGGGAGGTTGCAGTGAGCTGAGAGCGTCTACTGCATTCCAGACTGAGTGAGACTGTCTGGAAAAAAAAATATATATGCTTTATGGAGCAATGCCTCCTTTTGAATCCTGTTGATACTTTGTGCCATAATGCTTATCTTTGTTACCTTCGAAGGTTTCCAGGAAGCAGCCGATAGGTTGGGTCTGGAAGCCTGATAAGAGATTTAAAAAGTACAATAATATTCTTGAAAAGTATAGGTTCAGTATAATTGCCACAAATTTTGTTTGTTTCTGAGCCATATTTGTTGACCAGTATAGGAGATGGTTAGTTTTTTGTGTGTCTTTGAATTATAGTAATGCTTTATAAGGGATTATTGTATTTTACGTTTCTGCGGTTCTTTTTTTTTGAGACAGTCTTGCTCAGTCATCTAGGCTGAGCATATAAGCCTCATTTTGCAAGACTTACTTCAAAATGGCACGATCTCTAATCGTGGCAATCTCTGCTTTCCAGGTTCAAGCGATTAGGTCTAGTGTCTCAGTCTCCCCAGCAGCTGGAATTACAGGCTTGTGCCATCTCACCCAGCTAATTTTTTGTGTTTTTAGTAGAGACAAGGTTTTGCCATGTTGGTCAGGCTGGTCTTGAACTCCTGACCTCAAGTGGTCTGCCTGCCTCGGCTTCCCAGAGTGCTGAGATTACAGCTGCCCAAACTGCCATTCTTTTAATAAGTTAAAAACACTTTTGGCCAAAGTTATCAGACTCATGGATAATATTCTTTGGGGGTAATAAGGTTCCAAATGTTCTAGTTACCAAGATTTAGGGTTGGTGAAGTTGGAGGAGTATAATGTTGGCTTTAAGTCACTGTTTATTTTGAACATCAGTAATATTAAAGCTGTAAAATATGTTTATTCAAATGTTTCTGTTTACTATGCAGGCTTACAGTGGAACACCTCTAACAGAAGAAAAGGAGAAAATAGTCTGGGTCAGATTTGAAAATGCAGATTTAAATGGTATGGTTTTAACTTTTTTGGGACATATGAATTAATTGTTTGGAGTTGACCTGATTCCCCAAAGAGAGCCTCTACTTTAGTCAGATTACTTTCTCTTATAGTAATTTTTCGGTTTTCGAAATAAAAGGTAGCATAACCACAGTACAGAAACTTTAGAACTAATACTGTGTAACAAGTCTTAAAGTAACTGTAACACAGTGTGTAAGTGTTAAACTTCAATCAAGTTAAAGTGAGTTAAAATTTTCTTAGGTTAAAAAATAGTTTTCTTAAAAAAGGGGTTATTTAAGTTTGGTCAGTTGTATAGGATTTTTATTTTTTAACAGAATTTTCGCTCTTGTTGCCCAGGCTGGAGTGCAATGGCACGATCTCGGCTCATTGCAACCTCTGCCTCCTGGATTCAGATGATTCTCCTGCCTCAGCCTCCTGAGTTGCTGGGATTACAGGCATGCGCCACCACACCTGGCTAATTTTGTATTTTTAGTAGAGATGGGGTTTCTCCATGTTTGTCAGGCTGGTCTTGAACTCCCGACCTCAGATGATCTGCCTGCCTCAGCCTCCAAAAGTACTGGGATTACAGGTGTGAGCCATCATGCCTGGCCTGTATGGGATTTATAACTGCAAAATAATCATTAGTGTTGAACTTTCTAGGCTTGAAAATTATTATTATTTGAGATGGAGTGTAACTCTGGTGCCAGGCTGGAGTGCAGTGGTGTGATCTCGGCTCACTGTAACCTCTGCCTCCTGGGTTCAAGTGATTCTCCTGCCTCAGCCTCTCAAGTAGCTGGGACTGTAGGCACGCACGACCCCACCTGGCTAATATTTGTATTTTTAGTAGAGACAGGGTTTTTTTTTTTCTTTCTTTCTTTTTTTTTTCTTCCATTTTTATACCACTATACTAATGAGGAAGAGACAGGGTTTCACCATGTTACCTAGGATGGTCTCAATCTCTTGTCCTCGTGATCCACCTGCCTCTGCCTCCCAAAGTGCTGGGATTACAGGTGTGAGCCACTGCACCTGGTTGAAATTTTTTTCTGAACAGAATTTTATGCTAGTCCAGGATCTGTTCTCAGATATGTTCCTTTGCTCTTTCTTTTAAGGGGGCTGCCCCTTGTGTGTTTCCCAGTCTACCTTGTTGTCTTCTGGCTGAGTTTGGGAGACACTGGTGAGAAATTGAATGTGAGGATGGGAGAAAGGGAAAAGTATTATTCCTCCTCCTTCTGTCAACAGCTGTATTTCCGCTATGGGTTTAGCTCCTCCTACACAACCCCATTGGCATTCCAGTTTCTGCCAGGTGACCCACCATCCTGCACTCCTCTCTTGTCTCTTTAGCCTACAGGTCATAATGACTTCTTGCTATTGGTAATGGATAGGTTGCCTCACAGTTCCTTATTTGGCATCTCAACTCCTCCATCACCTGTGTAACCAGTTGTCTGTATTAAATTCCCTATTTTAAACACGCTGAGTTGTTTTCCTAGTGTATTTTTTTTTTTTTTTTTTTTTTTTTTGCGGGCATGAAAGTTTATTAAAAAGCTTTAGAACAATAAGGATATTAGCTGGGCTTGGTGGTGTCTGCCTGTAATCCCAGCTGCTCTGGAGGCTGAGGCAGAAGAATTGCTTGAATCTGGGAGGCAGAGAGGTTGCAGTGAGCCGAGATTGTGCCACTGCACTCCAGCCTGGGCAACAGAACAAGACTCTATCTCAAAAGCAAACAAAGGACCCCCCCCCATAACCCCCAAATAAACAAGCAAAAGCTTTAGAACAGTAAGGAAAGGAAGGAAAGGACAGAAGGAAAGTACAACTCAGAAGAGAGTCAAGTGGGCAACTTGAGAAACCAAGTGCATAGATTGACCTCTTGACTTGGAATTTTGTATGGTGACATACTTCCAGGATCTTGCATCACTTCTCCCCACTCCTGAGATCTTACTGAGAAGCTGTTGATCAGTTTTAGATGTTTTCTATCTATTAGAACATTGCCTTTCCCTGGCACTGGCTATGACCAGTTATTGTTTTAGAGAAACAGTTAACAACCGCCAACCATCACCTGATGGTTGCCCAACACGCTTGGTGTGTGTCTAAGTGGGGAGCCCTCTCCTGCCCTACTCATACCTGATTAGCTGTCTACTACTGTAACCTTTCCCTCCTCAAGAGTCCATGACCCCAAATCTTTGGGGGAAAATGGACGAATCTGTAACTGCTTCCTGCTGACAGAGGATTGGTGGTAGTTCTGTGGGTCTTGACCTCTTACAGGCTGTCAGGGCTGAGCTGGCTCCATGAGTTAGTGACAGCAATATCCAGCCAGGTGCAAGGGAGAGGGGCAGGAATTCACCTTTATTGTGTCCCACTGATGGGCAGTCTAGAGGTTCCCTGTAGATAGTGAACTCTTGAATATTGGGAGGACAGTATGCCTCACTGAGAATCGTCTGGAGCTTACTGGCCACTAGGGAATGTATCCGAGTCATGGCCCCAATATATTACCTGTGGCAGGTATACAGGTTATCCTGTTACTGGTGGCATATCCGCGAGGGTCTGTATTGACTTCAGTCCTTGCCTCCTGAGAAGAAAGAATTTTACTGAGGGTCATAAGGCAACAAAAGAGACTGAGGCAGGTTTTAGAGCAGGAGTGGAAGTTTATGAAAAAGCTTTAGAACAGAAAAGAAGAAAGAAAAGAAGGAAAGTGCTTAAAATAGGGCCAAGTGGGTCACTGGAGGAACTGTGTGCCCCTGGTTGGATGTTGACTGATACACTCGAGTCTTTACTTTCTCTAAGACTTTTTGTTTGTTTTTGATATTTTTTATTGTGGTAAAATAGACATAGTATAACATTTGCCATCTTAACCATTTTTAAGTGCATAGTTCTGTGACAATAAATGCATTAATAAGGCTGTGCAGCTGTCACCACCCTCCATCTCTGTAACTTTTTTTCGTCTTGTAAAACAAACTCTATACCTTATGTTAAATAATAATTTTACATTTGCACTTCTCTCCAGCCCCTGACAACTGCTTTTTTACTTTGTGTCCATGATTTTGGCTACTCTTAGCACCACATATAAGTGGAATCATATGGTATTTGGCTTTTTGTAACTGGCATATTTCACTTAGCATACTGTCCTCAAGGTTCATCTGTGTTGTAGCATAGGTCAGAATTTCCTTCCTTTTAACAACTGAATGAGACGGGGCATGGTGGCTCACACCAGGAATCCCAGCACTTTGGGAGGTCGAGGGTGGAGGATTGCTTGAGCTCAGGAGTTCAAGACCAGCCTGGGTAACATAGTATGACCCTGTCTCTACAAAAAATTAAAAAATTAATGAGGCTTGGTGGTGTGTGCCTGTAGTTCCAGCTACTTGGGAGGCTGTGGTGGGAGGATAGCTTAAGCCTGGGAGGTCTAGGTTGCAGTGAACTGAGATCGTGCCACTGCACTCCAGCGTGGGTGATGGAGTGCAACCCTGTCAATAAATAAATAAAGACAGTTAAATAAGTACATAAATAAAAACAATTATTTATAAGAGGCTGGGTAGGCTGGGCACTGTGGCTCATGCCTGTAATCTCAGCACTTTGGGAGGCTAAGTTGGGAGGATCACATGAGGTCAGGAGTTCAAGACTGTCCTGGCCAACATGGTGAAACCTCGTCTCTATTTAAAAATACAAAATTAGCCAGGAGTAGTGACACATTCCTACAGTCCCAATTACTCAGAAAGCTGAGGCAGGAGAATCACTTGAACCCAGGAGGCAGAGGTTGCAGTGAGCTGAGATCTCGCCATTGCACTCCACTCTGGGTGATAGAGCAAGACGACGTTTCAAAAAAATAATAATAATAATGGAGTCTCATTCTGTCACCCAGGCTGGAGTGCAGCAGCACAGTCTCGGCTCACTACAATCTCTGCCTCTTGGGTTCAAGCGATTCTCCTGTCTCAGCCCCCCAAGTAGCTGGAATTATAGGCGTGCGTCACCATGTGACTCATACTTCTATGAACATGGGTGTATAAATCTCTCTCTCTTATCTTTTTTTGAGGCAGTTTCACTCTTGTTTCCCAGGCTGGAAATGCAGTGGCATGATCTTGGCTCACTGCAACCTTTGCCTCCTGGGTTCAAGTGATTCTCCTGCTTCAGCCTCTGAAGTAGCTGGAATTACAGGTGCTCACCATCATGCCCAGCTAATTTTTGTATTTTTAGTAGAGACAGGGTTTCACCATGTTGGCCAGGCATGTCTCAAACTCCTGACCTCAGGTGATTCACCTACCTCAGGCTCTCAACGTGCTGAGATTGCAGGCATGAGCCACCGCGCCTGGCCTCTTATCTCTTTGAGGGTCTACTTTTGAGAATTGCTGGCTCATATGATAATTCTGTTTTTAATTTTTTAGGAATCACCATGGTTTTCCTCAGTGACTGTACCATTTTTCATTCCCAACAACAATGTACAAGGGTCCCAACTTCTCCATATCCTTTCTAACACTTGTTGTATTCTCTCTCTCTTTTTTCCTCTTGATAGTAGCCATCCTAATGAGGCTGGGTTGTGGTTTCAATTTGGATTTCCCTAATGATTAGTAATGTTGAGCAGCCATTTGTTTAGCTTCTTTGGGGAAATCCCTATTGAAGTCCTTTGCCCATTTTTGAATTGTTTGTTTTTGTTTATTTAGTTTTAGGAGTTTTCTAAATATTCTGGGTATTCCTTTATTAGATATATGCCATGAAAATATATTCTCCTATTCCGTGAGTTGCTGTTTCTTCTAAGACTTTACAAATATGAAGACTTTTTTTTTCTTTTTTTTTTTTTTTAGAGCTACCATCCAGGATAAGAAAGTCTGAGTGTCACTTTTACAGATTGATTTCCTTTGAATTTTGGATTCTCTATTAGCTTATTCATTCAAATAATAAAAATTTGTTGGGCCTTCTTAATGGAGAGTAAAACATTCATTTGTAAGGGTGATTATTTATGATATCCATGACAAATATTTTTTGAAATGTTTTTTTCATTTTGGAACATTACACTGACTGAAATTAGAAGAAGAAGCAGTAAAGCTTCATCCCAGTGTTTTTTATAGACTCTTCCTGCTATATTTCTCTTTGAAAGCTTATTGTTTAAATTTTCTTTCTTTCTTTTTTTTTTTTCCCCAAGACATACGGTCTTGCTCCATCACCCAGGCTGGAGTGCAGTGGCTTGATAATGGTTCACTGTAACTTTGACCTGCTGGGCTCAAGCAGTCCTCCCACTTCAGCCTCCCGAGTAGCTGGGACCGAAGGCGTGTGCCACCGTATTTGGCTAATTCTTTTTTTTTTTTTTTTTTTTGAGTTGGAGTCTTGCTCTTGTCGCCCAGGCTGGAGTACAGTGGCACAGTCTCCGCTCACTGCAATTTCTGCCTCCCAGGTTCAAGCAATTGTTGTGTCTTAGCCTCTCAAGTGGCTGGGACTACAGGCATTTGCCACCACGTCCAGCTAATTTTTTTTCTTTTTTTTTTTAGTAGAGATGGGGTTTCACCATGTTAGCCAAGATGGTCTCAGTCTCCTGACTTTGTGATCCACCTGCCTCGGCCTCTGAAAGCGCTGGCATTACAGGCATGAGCCACTGCTCCCAGCCCAAGTTAAAGGAATTTTAAGGTCACATAATCAAAATGTTAAAAGTATTATCACCCAGCCGGCGTTGTGGCTCACGTCTGTAATCCAAGCACTTTGGAGGTCAGGGCGGGCGGATCACCTCAGGTCGGGAGTTCAAGACCAGCCTGACCAACATGGTGAAACCCCGTTCTTAAAAAAAAAAAAAGTATTATCAAAATAATTTTTACCCAGGCAAGATTTTCACTTTTCTTATTTATTTTTTAACAACAAGTAAAAATGTTGGGGTAATGTTCCATGAAGACTTTGCTTTATTGAAGTAAAAATACATTTGGAAATGCAGATGCATCCTACTGAAAAATTATTTAGCACTATGTATCCTATTGAATGTAAAGTAATTTTCCTTAACTTAGTATCCATAGCTTAATTAACTTATTTATCTTAGATTTGTACATTTTCTCCTAAATACTTTAGCAAAGTCACATGTCTTTTGGTCTCTCTTTTCTATAGTATACTGGTATATTGTGTGATATTGTGGCTGGGTTTTTGTTTTTTTTTTTTTTGAGACGAAGTTTCGCTCTTGTTACCCAGGCTGGAGTGCAATGGTGCGATCTCGGCTCACCACAACCTTCACCTCCTGGGAACAGGCAATTCTCCTGCCTCAGCCTCCTGAGTAGCTGGGATTACAGGCATGCATCACCATGCCCAGCTAATTTTTTGTATTTTTAGTAGAGACGGGGTTTCACCATGTTGACCAGGATGGTCTCGATCTCTTGACCTCGTGATCCACCTCCCTTGGCCTCTCAAAGTGCTGGGATTACAGGTGTGAGCCACTGCGCCCGGCCCTGTGGCTGGGTTTTTAATGGATATTCTTTTTATTTTCTTTGGCCCTAGGTGTGTGTCAGTGTATATATTTATACCTGTGTGTACATATGTCTGCCTGTGTGAATCTGTGCATATTTTAAGGCAGTAGTAAATTATACAGTCAAATGACAAAATTCCAATTGAGTTTAAAGATCCAAATCGATTTTATTTGCAATCTGGAATACTTCATTCCATGGTGGCTCACGCCTGTAATCCCAGAACTTTGAGAGGCTGAGTAGGGTGGATCACGAGATCAAGAGATTGAGACCATCCTGGCCAACATGGTGAAATCCTGTCTCTACTAAAAATACAAAAACTAGAGGCCAGGCACTGTGGCGCACACCTGTAATCCCAGCACTTTGGGAGGCCAAGGCGGGTGGATCACGATGTCAGTAGTTTAAGACCAGTCTGGCCAAGTTGGTGAAACCCTGTCTCTAATAAAAATCCAAAAATTAGCTGGGCATGTGGCATATGCCTGTAATCCCAGCCACTCAGGAGGCTGAGGCAGAAGAATTGCTTGAACCTGGGAGGCAGAGGTTGCAGTGAGCTGAGATCGTGCCACTGCACTCCAGCCTCGGTGACAGAGGGAGACTCTGTCTCAAAAAACAAACAAACAAAAATAGCTGGGCATGGTGGCATGTACCTGTAGTCCCAGCTACTCAGGAGGCTGAGGCCAGAGAATTACTTGAACCCGGGAGGTGGAGATTGCAGTGAGCCAGTGTTGTGCCACTGCACTCCAGCCTGGCAACAGAGTGAGACTCTTGTCTCAAAAAAAAAAAAAAAAAAGTTCCAATGAGCTGAGCAGAAGAGGTTGGTTTTAGAAATGGAGAAGGCCTGAAGGAGAAACACAGAAGAAAAAGTGGACTTGTCATTTTAAAGTTACTTCCCCATAAGGTGTGAACAAAGAAACAAAACAATAGAGAAATAATTTACTGATTAACATCAGGTTACTTTAGGTTACCTTTGTTCTAAGGATTAAAACAGGAAACTTTATTATCATGCTGGTTGAAGATTGAAACAGGCCTGCTTGGGAAATTGGCTATTATGTCTCTTTTCCGATTTCTCCAAAGATCAGGTAACAACTTAGTTTCAGTTTGGTGACGTGGAACTTTTTTTTTTTTTTTTTGAGATGGAGCCTTGCACTGTCACCTAGGCTGGAGTGCCAGTGGTATGATCTCGGCTCACTGCAACCTCTGGTTCAAGTGATTCTCCTGCCTCAGTCTCCCAAGTAGCTGAGATTATAAGCACCTGTCACCATGCCCAGCTAATTTTTTGTATTTTTAGTAGAGATAGGGTTTCACTGTGTTGGTCAGGCTGGTCTTGAAGTCCTGACCTTGTGATCCACCTGCCTTGGCCTCCCAAAGTGCTGGGATTACAGGTGTGAGCCACCGCACCCGGCCCTTTTTTGGTAGGGGATTTTTTTTTTAGAAAGAATATCTCTCTGTTGCCCAGCCTGGAATGTCGTGGTGTGATCTCAGCTCACTGCAACCTCTGCCTCCTGGGTTCAAGGGATTCTTCTGCCTTAGTCTCCCAAGTAGCTGGGATTACAGGTGCGCAACACCACTCTGGGACAAAGTCTTGCTCTGTCACTCAGGCTGATGTGCAGTGGTATCATCTCAGCCCACTACAACCTCTGCCTGCTGGGTTCAAGTGATTATCCTGTCTTAGCCTCCCAAGTAGCTAGGATTACAGACACATGCCACCACACATGGATCATTTTTTGTATTTTAAGTAGAGGCGGGGTTTTACCATGTTGGCCAGGCTGGTCTTGAACTCTGTACCTCAAGTGATCTGCCCTCCTCAGCCTCCCAAAGTGCTGGAATTACAGTCATGAGCCACTGTGCCCAGCCAGATTTCTTCATTCCTAGTCAATGTACTAACTTTGGCTTGCTGTTAGTAGAGATTCTGCTTTTGGAGTTCAGTAGGGAGGATGATTAACCAACCCTTTGTATCATGCATGGTTACTGATCTCTTTCTGCTTTCAGGCAGTCTGATTTATTTATTTACTTACTTTTCGATATGGAGTTTCACTCTTTTTTTTTTTTTTAGTTTTTCCTGAGTTATTTATTTTTTTCTGATGGAGTTTCACTCTTGTTGCCTAGGCTGGAGTGCAATGGCACAGTCTCTGCTCACTGCAACCTCCCCCTCCTGGGTTCAAGCAATTCTCCTGCCTCAGCCTCACGAATAGCTGGAATTACAGGCATGTGCCCCCACATCTGGCTAATTTTTGTGTTTTTAGTAGAGACAAGGTTTCCCCATGTTGGCCAGGCTGATCTTGAACTCCTGACCTAAGGTGATCTACCCGCCTCAGCCTCCTAAAGTGCTCAGGTTATAGATGTGAACCACCTGCTTGATTTATACCCAGGCTTGTTTCTCTCAACACTACACTGAGGAGAAAGGTATAAGTAGCCAAAGCAGTTTAATCTGACATTTTTCTGTCAAATTCTCTAAAGGCGAGAATATAGTTTAAATCCCAGAATACATCAGATCAAACTGATGCTGGTTTACTATAGTATAATGGGAATTGCTTTCTAGCCTGTGCAGTGAAATTTTTACCATCCCCTAATCCCATACTTCATAGTTCATACTTGACCAGTTTTTTTTTTTTTCTAGACAGAGTCTCACTTTTTTACCCAGGCTGGAGTGCAGTGGCATGAACTTGGCCCACTGTAGCCAACCTCCTGGGCTCAAGTCATCCTCTCACCTCAGCCTGCTTAGTAGCTTGGACCACAGGCATGTACCACTATATCTGGCTAATTTTTTTTAGATGGGGTCTCACCATGTTGCCTAAACTGGTCTCAAATTTCTGGGTCCAAGCAGTCCTCCTACTTTGACCTCATAAAGTACTGGGAGCAGGTGTGAGCCACCATGCCTGACATGGCCAGTTCTAATATACAGGTCTAGTACTATATTTGGATTTCATGTTCAGTAGGCCCTTTTTTTTTTTTTTTTTTAAATTTTTTATTGGATTTTAGGTTTTGGGGTACATGAGCAGAGCATGCAAGACAGTTGCGTAGGAACACACGTGGCAGTGTGCTTTTCTTTCCTTCTCCCCTTCACCCACATTTAACATTTCTCCCCAGGCTATCCCTCCCCACCTCCCCCTCCCACTGGCCCTCCCCTTTTCCCCCCAATAGACCCCAGTGTTTAGTACTCCCCTTTCTGTGTCCATGTGTTCTCATTTTTCATCACCCGCCTATGAGTGAGAATATGCGGTGTTTCATTTTCTGTTCTTGTGTCAGTTTGCTGAGGATGACGTTCTCCAGATTCATCCATGTCCCTACAAATGACACGAACTCATCATTTCTGATTGCTGCATAATATTCCATGGTGTATATGTGCCACATTTTTCCAATCCAGTCTATTATCAATGGGCATTTGGGTTGATTCCAGGTCTTTGCTATTGTAAACAGTGCTGCAATGAACATTCGTGTACATGTGTCCTTATAGTAGAACGATTTATAGTCTTTTGGATATACCCAGTAATGGGATTGCTGGGTCAAATGGAATTTCTATTTCTAAGGCCTTGAGGAATCGCCACACTGTCTTCCACAATGGTTGAACTAATTTACACTCCCACCAACAGTGGAAAAGTGTTCCTTTGTCTCCACATCCTCTCCAGCATCTGTTGTCTCCAGATTTTTTTAATGATCGCCATTCTAACTGGCGTGAGATGGTATCTCAATGTGGTTTTGATTTGCATCTCTCTGATGACCAGTGACGATGAGCATTTTTTCATATGATTGTTGGCCTCATATATGTCTTCTTTCGTAAAGTGTCTGTTCATATCCTTTGCCCACTTTTGAATGGGCTTGTTTGTTTTTTTCCTGTAAATCCGTTTGAGTTCTTTGTAAATTCTGGATATCAGCCCTTTGTCAGATGGGTAAACTGCAAAGATTTTTTCCCATTCTGTTGGTTGCCGATCCACTCTAGTGACTGTTTCTTTTGCTGTGCAGAAGCTGTGGAGTTTCATTAGGTCCCATTTGTCTATTTTGGCTTTTGTTGCCAATGCTATTGGTGTTTTGTTCATGAAGTCCTTGCCTACTCCTATGTCCTGGATAGTTTTGCCTAGATTTCCTTCTAGGGTTTTTATCGTGCCAGGTCTTATTTTTAAGTCTTTAATCCATCTGGAGTTAATTTTAGTGTAAGGTGTCAGGAAGGGGTCCAGTTTCTGCTTTCTGCACATGGCTAGCCAGTTTTCCCAACACCATTTGTTAAACAGGGAATCCTTTCCCCCTTGCTTGTTTTTGTCAGGTTTATCAAAGATTGTATAGTTGTAGATATGTTGTGTTGCCTCCGGTGCCTCTGTTTTGTTCCATTGGTCTATATCTCTGTTTTGGTACCAGTACCATGCTGTTTTGATTACTGTAGCCTTGTAGTATAGTTTGAAATCCGGTAGTGTGATGCCCCCCGCTGTGTTCTTTTTGCTTAGAATTGACTTGGCTATGCGGGCTCTCTTTTGGTTCCATATGAAGTTCATGGTGGTTTTTTCCAGTTCTGTGAAGAAAGTCAATGGTAGCTTGATGGGGATTGCGTTGATTCTGTAAATTACTTTGGGCAGTATAGCCATTTTCACGATGTTAATTCTTCCTAACCATGAACATGGAATGTTTCTCCATCTGTTTGTGTCCTCTCTGATTTCGTTGAGCAGTGGTTTGTAGTTCTCCTTGAAGAGGTCCCTTACGTTCCTTGTGAGTTGTATTCCAAGGTATTTTATTCTTTTTGTAGCAATTGTGAATGGCAGTTCGTTCTTGATTTGGCTTTCTTTAAGTCTGTTATTGGTGTAGATGAATGCTTGTGATTTTTGCACATTGATTTTATATCCTGAGACTTTGCTGAAGTTGCTTATCAGTTTCAGGAGTTTTTGGGCTGAGGTGATGGGGTCTTCTAGGTATACTATCATGTCGTCTGCAAATAGAGACAATTTGGCTTCCTCCTTTCCTATTTGAATACCCTTTATTTCTTTTTCTTGCCTGATTGCTCTGGCTAGAACTTCCAGAACTATATTGAATAGGAGTGGTGAAAGAGGGCATCCTTGTCTAGTGCCAGATTTCAAAGGGAATGCTTCCAGTTTTTGCCCATTCAGTATGATATTGGCTGTTGGTTTGTCATAAATAGCTTTTATTACTTTGAGATACGTTCCATCGATACCGAGTTTATTGAGGGTTTTTAGCATAAAGGGCTGTTGAATTTTGTCAAATGCCTTCTCTGCGTCAATTGAGATAATCATGTGGTTTTTGTTTTTGGTTCTGTTTATGTGTTGAATTACGTTTATAGACTTGCGTATGTTGAGCCAGCCTTGCATCCCCGGGATGAATCCTACTTGATCATGGTGAATAAGTTTTTTGATTTGCTGTTGCATTCGGCTTGCCAATATTTTATTGAAGATTTTTGCATCTATATTCATCATGGATATTGGCCTGAAGTTTTCTTTTCTTGTTGGGTCTCTGCTGGGTTTTGGTATCAGGATGATGTTGGTCTCATAAAATGATTTGGGAAGGATTCCCTCTTTTTGTATTGTTTGAAATAGTTTTAGAAGGAATGGTACCAGCTCCTCTTTGTGTGTCTGGTAGAATTCGGCTGTGAACCCGTCTGGACCTGGGCTTTTTTTGTGTGGTAGGCTCTTAATTGCTGCCTCGACTTCTGACCTTGTTATTGGTCTATTCATAGTTTCAGCTTCCTCCTGGTTTAGGCTTGGGAGGATGCAGGAGTCCAGGAATTTATCCATTTCTTCCATGTTTACTAGTTTATGTGCATAGAGTTGTTTGTCATATTCTCTGATGATGGTTTGAATTTCTGTGGAATCTGTGGTGATTTCCCCTTTATCATTTTTTATTGCATCTATTTGATTGTTCTCTCTTTTATTTTTAATCAATCTGGCTAGTGGTCTGTCTATTTTGTTGATCTTTTCAAAAAACCAGCTCTTGGATTTATTGATTTTTTTTTAAGGGTTTTTCGTGTCTCAGTCTCCTTCAGTTCAGCTCTGATCTTAGTTATTTCTCGTCTTCTGCTGGGTTTTGAGTTTTTTTGATCTTGCTCCTCTAGCTCTTTCAATTTTGAGGATAGGGTGTCAATTTTGGATCTCTCCATTCTCCTCATATGGGCACTTATTGCTATATACTTTCCTCTAGAGACTGCTTTAAATGTGTCCCAGAGGTTCTGGCATGTTGTGTCTTCGTTCTCATTGATTTCGAAGAACTTCTTTATTTCTGCCTTCATTTCATTGTTTACCCAGTCAACATTCAAGAGCCAGTTGTTCAGTTTCCATGAAGCTGTGCGGTTCTGGGTTGGTTTCTGTATTCTGAGTTCTAACTTGATTGCACTATGGTCTGAGAGGCTGTTTGTTATGATTTTAGTTGTTTTGCATTTGCTGAGCAGTGCTTTACTTCCAATTATGTGGTCAATTTTAGAGTAGGTGTGATGTGGTGCTGAGAAGAATGTATATTCTGTGGATTTGGGGTGGAGAGTTCTGTAAATGTCTATCAGGTTTGCTTGCTCCAGGTCTGAGTTCAAGCCCTGGATATCCTTGTTGATTTTCTGTCTGGTTGATCTGTCTAATATTGACAGTGGAGTGTTAAAGTCTCCCACTATTATTGTGTGGGAGTCTAAGTCTCTTTGTAAGTCATTATGAACTTGCCTTATGTATCTGGGTGCTCCTGCATTGGGTCCATATATGTTTAGGATCGTTAGCTCTTCTTGTTTTATTGATCCTTTTACCATTATGTAATGGCCTTCTTTGTCTCTTTTGATCTTTGTTGCTTTAAAGTCTATTTTATCAGAGATGAGAATTGCAACTCCTGCTTTTTTTTTGCTCTCCATTTGCTTGGTAAATCTTCCTCCATCCCTTTATTTTGAGCCTTTGTGTATCCTTGCATGTGAGATGGGTTTCCTGGATACAGCACACTGATGGGTTTTGGATTTTTATCCAATTTGCCAGTCTGTGTCTTTTGATTGGTTGCATTTAGTCCATTTACATTTAGGGTTGATATTGTTATGTGTGAATTTGATACTGCCATTTTGATGCTAAGTGGCTGTTTTGCCCGTTAGTTGTTGTAGATTCTTCATTATGTTGATGCTCTTAACATTTAGTGTGATTTTGGAATGGCTGGTACTGGTTGTTGCTTTCTATGTTTAGTGCCTCTTTTAGGAGCTCTTGTAAAGCAGGCCTGGTGGTGACAAAATCTCTGAGTACTTGCTTGTTCGCAAAGGATTTTATTTTTCCTTCACTTCTGAAGCTCAGTTTGGCTGGATATGAAATTCTAGGTTGAAAGTTCTTTTCTTTAAGAATGTTGAATATTGGCCCCCACTCTCTTCTGGCTTGTAGTGTTTCTGCCAAGAGATCTGCTGTGAGTCTGATGTGGGTAACTTGACCTTTCTCTCTGGCTGCCCTTAGTATTTTCTCCTTTATTTCAACCTTGTTGAATCTGACGATTATGTGCCTTGGGGTTGCTCTTCTTGCAGAATATCTTTGTGGTGTTCTCTGTATTTCCTGCATTTAAGTGTTGGCCTGTCTTGCTAGGTGGGGGAAGTTTTCCTGGATGATGTCCTGAAGAGTATTTTCCAGCTTGGATTCATTCTCTTCGTCCCCTTCTGGTACACCTATCAAACGTAGGTTAGGTCTCTTCACATAGTCCCACATTTCTTGGAGACTTTGTTCATTCCTTTTTGCGCTTTTGTCTCTAATCTTGGTATCTCGTTTAATTTCATTGAGTTGGTCTTCGACTTCAGATATCCTTTCTTCTGCTTGGTCAATTCGGCTATTGAAACTTGTGCATGCTTCACGAAGTTCTCGTATTGTGTTTTTCAGCTCCTTTAATTCATTCATATTCCTCTCTAAGTTATCCATTCTTGTTATCATTTCCTCATATCTTTTTTTTAAGTTCCTTAGTTTCTTTGCATTGATTTAGTACATGTTCTTTTAGCTCACAAAAGTTTCTCATTATCCACCTTCTGAAGTCTAATTCCGTCATTTCATCACAGTCATTCTCCGTCCAGCTTTGTTCCCTTGCTGGTGAGGGGTTTTTGTCCTTTCTAGGAGGCGAGGTGTTCTGGTTTCGGGTGTTTTCCTCCTTTTTTCGCTGGTTTCTTCCCATCTTTGTGGGTTTATCCACTTGTCGTCTGCGTAGTTGCTGACTTTTCGTTTGGGTCTCTGAGTGGACACCCAGATTGTTGATGATGAAGTATTTCTGTTACTTGGTTTTCCTTCTACCAGCCTAGCCCCTTCGCTGTACGACTGCTGAGGTCCACTCTAGGCCCTGCTTGTCTGGGGTGCACCTCTAGCAGCTGTGGCACAGCGAGGGATGCTACCTGTTTCTTTTTCGGCTATCTTTGTCCCAGGATGATGCCTGCCAAATGTCAGTCTTTTGGACATAGAGGGGTCAGGGAGCTGCTTGAGGAGACAGTCTGTTCTTTTTAGGAGCTCAATTTCTGAGCTGTGCACTCTGTTGTTCATTCAGGGCTGTTAGGCTGCTATGTTTAATTCTGCTGCAACAGAGTTCATTAAAAAAAACCCTTTTTTTCTCAAATGCTCTGTGTTGGGGGGTTCGGGCTTTATTCTTCTATGTTCTTTGAGGTGTCCTGCCCAGCTCAAAGGCAGACTAGCCACTGTTTGCCTGCCGAGACTCCGCCCTGCTGTTGTGTGATTCGCCCTGTTCCTGCAGGCTCTGCTGTGGTCTCCGCCAGGCCCTGCGGCGGAGTCTCTTTGTTGTAGCGTGTTGCCTCGGCAACGGCAGGCTGCGTCAGCAGTGGGCGTGTATCTCAGTAGGGACGGGTTGCCTCGGCAACGGCTGGCTGCGTCAGCAGTGGGTGTGTATCTCAGTTGGGGCGGGTTGCCTCAGTAGTGGTGGACGCCCCTCCCCCACAGAGCGTCTCGGACCGTCTGCTCAGGATAGTTTGAAATCGCGGTTTTGTTCGTCCCACTGGGTATCCCAAACGCTCTGTCCCTGCAATCCCCTGGGCTGGCCTACTGTCCAAGTCTCGTTCAGTCTCAAGTCCAGCCCTCTCAAGTCTCAGGTTGCCGGTTCAACAGGGCACCCGGACAAGCGCGCCCTGTGGGAATTGCTGGGTAGGGCCGGCCGCCGCCGCCCCGGCTGCCGGCTTCGCCAGGCAGACTTACTGCCTGGCGTCCCGTGTCTTTTCTATACTTGTGAGTTTCCTTGTTCTGTGGGCAACAAAGATCAGTCTAAAAATGCAGCTCGGACTCACCTCTTTGCGGATTCAACGAGAGCTCCAATCCTGGGTTGTTCTCACAGCACCATCTTGAGTCCTCTCGGCCCTTTTTTTTTTTAAAATTTTTTTTTTTTAAAGATGGGGTTTTTACCATGATGGCCAGGCTGGTCTTGAACTCCTGACCTCAGGTGATCCACCCACCTCGGCCTCCCAAAGTGCTAGGATTACAGGTGTGAGCCACAGTGCCCAGCCCCGTAGGCCCTTTTTTTTAGTTGCTTTAAAATAAAAAAGTAATTGTTTTAAATAAAAAAGGGATTTTTTTTAATTTTGGAAAAACAAGGATAGCATAAAATTTATCATTTTAACCATTAAAAATTTTAGAAAAATATTTATTGATTATTTAAAAAATTTTTTTTTTTTTTTTGAGACGGAGTTTCACTCTTGTTACCCAGGCTGGAGTGCAATGGTGCAATCTTAGCTCACCACTACCTCCGCCTCCTGGGTTCAAGCAATTCTCCCACCTCAGCCTCCTGAGTAGCTGGGATTACAGGCACGCGCCACCATGCCCAGCTGATTTTTTGTATTTTTAGTAGAGATGGGGTTTCACCATGTTAACCAGGATGGTCTTGATCTCTTGACCTCGTGATCCACCCGCCTCGGCCTCCCCAAGTGCTGGGATTACAGGCTTGAGCCACCGCACCCAGCCAATTATTAAAAATTGAGACAAGGTCTCACTGTGTTGCCCTGGTCTCAAACTCCTGGGCTCAAGTGATCCTCCTGTCTCAGCCTCTCAAAGTGTTGGGCTTATAGGTGTGAGCCACCTTGCACAGTCTTAATTTTTTTTTAGTAAAGACAAGGTGTTGCTACGTTGCCCAGGCCGACCTTAAACTCAAGTGATCCTCCCACCTTGGTGTCACAAAGTGGGATTGCACATTGCACATGTGGGCAACCATTATCATTTTAAAGTATATAGTTCAGTATTATTAAGTAATTCACATTGTTGTACAACAATCTCTAGAAGTCTTTATCACGCAAAACTGAAACTCTATAACTATTACACAACAATTCCACAGTCTCCACCTCCCAGCCCCTGGCAACCACCACTCTACTTTCTGTTTCTATGATTATTTATTATAATGACAGGGTTTCACCATGTTGGTCAGGCTGGTCTTGAACTCCCGACCTCAGGTGATCCGCCCACCTTGGCCTGCAAAGTGCTTGGATTACAGGCATAAGCCGCCATGCCCAGCCTCTTTCTATCATTTTTAACTACTTTAGGGACCTCACATAGGGTAGAATCATAGATTATTTACCTTTTTCTGATTACCTTATTTCACTTAACGTAATGTTCTCAAGGTTCGTTCATGTTGTAGCATGTATCAGAATTTTCTTTAAAATTTGTCATATTAAAGTTACTTCCCCTGTAAGGTGTGAACAAAGAAACAAAACAATAGAGAAATAACTTACTGGTTAACATCAGGTCACTTAAGGTTACCTTTTGTTCTAAGGATTAAAACAGAGGGAACTTTATTATCATGCCACATTTTAGTCATTCATTTGTTGAAAGACATTTGTGTTGCTTCTGCCTTTTGGCTTTGTGAACAATGCTGTAACAAACATAGGTGTTTAATATCTCTTCTAGTGGAATTGTATCATTTGGTAATTCTTTAATTTTTTGAGGCACCATCATACTTTTTTCCTTACAGGATTTAAAATTTTATTTTTAGAGACAGGGTCTTCCTGTGTCATTCAGGCTGGAATGATCACAGCTCACTGCAATTTTGAACTTCTGGGCTCATGTGATTCTCCTTCCTCAGCCTCTCAGGTAGCTGGCAGTATAGGCACATGCCACCATGCCCAGCTTATTTTTAAATTTTTGGTAGAGATGAGGTCTTGCTATGTCGCCCAGCTGATCTTAAACTACTGGACTCAAGCAGTCCTCCTGCCTCAGCCTCCTAATGTGCTGGGATACAGGCGTGAGCCACTATACCTTGGCTCATAGGGGATTTAAAAATAATCTGCTTATGGATCTGGTAAGGGGAGCGGCGTCATGCTTATAATCTTTGTGCACTTCTTGTCACTCCTCTCTGAATGTTTGCATCTCTTCTTTGACTTCTTTTTAGACAGTTGGTGCAGTGCTTACTCAAAGCTCTTTATTCATACCTTTATGATTATATGATAAGATCAAAGACAAAAAAGTATTCATTAGGAAATCTAGATGACTCAGTCTGAGTCACTCTCCCATAATTGGAATAGTTGCTGTAGCCAAGGATGTAGTACTAGAATTGCTCAGCTAGTCATGTGCCTTGCCCTGTGCTTGACGGAGGATGAGATTAGTTACCGGAAAAGAGGGAGGTACAGAATGGGAAGTGTGTGAGGTACGAGGTACAGAATGGGAAGTGTGTGAGGTACACAAAGGTAATAGCTGCTGCAGCTGGGCACAGTGGCACGCACTTGTAGTCCCAGATGCTCGAAGGTTGAGGTAGGAGAATCGCTTGGGTCTAGGAGTTCTGGGCTATAATGTGCTATGCCAATTGGGTGTCTGCACTAAGTTCAGCATCAATATGGTGACTTCCCGGGAGTAACCACTGGGTTGCCTAAGGAGGGGTGAACCAGCCCAGTCTGGAAACAGTTAAAATTCCCATGATGATCATTAGTGAGATGGCATCTGTGCATAATAGCACAGCAGTCCAGCCTGGGCAACACAGTGAGACCCCATCTCTAAAAGAAAATGCTGCTGTAAGCTTCTATTGCTCTAGACGTTTGGGTCCCACAGATGCCTCAAACTCTGATTTCTTTTCCCATCTAATCGTCTCTCCTTAGCAGCTGTGCACTGACCCCACTTACCTTTCAGGTCATTAAAGCCACAGAACTCTTCATGCCTCAGGATCTTTGCAGAGGGGACCCTGTAGGTGAAATGTTGTTTTCTGCCTCTGTCATCATTTACCTTTTAGAGTGTACAAAAATGACTCCACAAGCTGGGTGCAGTGGCTCATGCCTATAATCCCAGCACTTTGGGAGGCCAAGATGGGTATATCACTTGAGCCCAGGAGTTCAAGACTAGCCTGGGTAACATGATAAAACTCCATCTCTACAAAAAAATACAAAAAAATTAGCTGGGTGAGGTAGTATGCCCTTGTAGTCCTAGCTACTCAAGAGGCTGTGGTGGGAGGATTGCTGCAGTCCAGGAGGTTGAGGTTTCAGTGAGCTGTGTTTGTGCCACTGCACTACAGAATGGGTGACAGGGCAAGACACCTGTCTCTGAATGAACGAATGAGTAAATGAGGGATGGAGGGAAGGAAGGAAAAGAAAGAAGCAGGTTTGGGAAGAAAGATTCAGTTTTGGCCAGGCTCAGTGGCTCATGTGTGTAATTCCAGCACTTTGGGAGGCCAAGGCATGTGGATCATCCGAGGTCAGGAGTTCAAGATCAGCCTGGCCAACATGGTGAAATGCATCCCTTTTAAAGATACAAAGAAGAAAAATGTATTTTTAGCTGAGCATGGTGGTGGGTGCTTGTAATCCCAGCTCCTCGGGAGGCTGAGGCAGGAGAATCAATTTAACCCGAGAGGCGGAGGTTGCAGTGAACTACTGCACTCCAGACTGGGTGACAGAGCGAGACTCTGTCTCAAAAAAAAAAAAAAAATTAGCTAGGCTTCATGACGTACATCTGTAATTCCAGCTACTCAGGAGGCTGAGGCACTGGAATTGCTTTAACCTGAGAGGTGGAGGTTGCAGTGATCATACCACTGCACGCCAGCCTAAGTGATGGAGTGAGACTCTATCTCCCAAAAAAAAAAAAAAATCAGAAAGGAGAGTGATGAAATAAAGTAAAGGAAGAGATGTTTATTGCTTTATGATTTTAACAAAACATTTATTGTACAAAAATATGGCAAATAACACAAAAGTATAGATTAGTGAATGAGTTTTTACAAATTCACTGCTTATATAACTGGCACCTAAAATATAGGATATAGTTGACCCTTTAACAACATGGGTTTGAACTGCACAAGTCCACTTTAGTTATGCCCAGACTTTTTGGAATAAATGTGTTGGAAAATTTTTTGGAGATTTGTATGACACTTTGACAAAACTTGCAAATGAACCACATAGCCTAGAAATATAAAAAAAAAAATAAGAAAAAGATATGTTATGAATGCATAAGATGTATATAGATACTAATCTATTTTATCATTTACTATAAAATATGCACAAATCTAGGCCAAGCAATGTGACTCATGCCTGTAATTCCAGTAATTTGGGAGGCTGAGGTGGGTGAATCATTTGAGCTTAGGAGTTCAAGACCAGCCTGCCCAACATGGTGAAACTCCATCTCTACTAAAAAAAAAAAAAAAAAAAATTAGCTGGCGTGGTGGTACATGCCTGTAATCCCAGCTTCTTGGGAGGCTGAGGCAGGAGAATTGCTAGAGCCTGGGAAGTGGTGGTTGCAGTGAGCCGAGATGGCGCCAGTGTACTCCACCCTGGGTAACAGGGAGAGACTCCTCAAAAAAAAAAAAAAAAAAAAGGTATGTTCTCTCTCTCTCTCTCTCTCTCTCTCTCTCTCTGTGTATGTATAGCTATACACCCACAAATCTATTATAAAAAGTTAAAATTTATTGAAATGCACACACACACACTTGACAGTACATGGTGCCATCTATAACCATGTAAACAAATGTACAGATGCAGTATTAAATTATAACTGCATAAAATTAACTGCGGTACCTACTGTACTACTGTAATAATTTGTAGTGACCTCCTGTTGCTGTTGCATGGAGCTCAAGTATTATGAGTATCCACTTAACATCATATCTGGTGAGCAGTTTGTCTTTCTAGTAAATTGCATCACAGTAAAAAGTGATCTCTTTAGATTCTCACCTGTTTTGCATCATGTTAATTGTAATACTATACCTTGAATAACACTGGGACCCATATGAAGTGCCCACTAGTGATGCTGGAAATTTTCCCAAGAAACAGAAGTCATGACACGATAAAAACTTGAATTGACTGATAGGTAGTATAGGTTGAAGTCTACAGCTGTGATTCAAGATAAATGAATCTGGCCTAAAGACTATTGTAAAAAAAGGAAATGATTTTTTTTTTCTTTGAGACAGTGTCTTACTCTGTCACCCTGGGTGGAGTACAGTGGTATAATCTCAGCTCACTGCAACCTCCACCTCTGGGGCTCAAGTGATCCTCCCACCTCAGCCTCCCAAGTAGTTGGGACTGTAGGCATGCACCAGAGTGCCTGGTTAATTTTTGTATTTTGTTTTTTTTTTTTTTTTGTAGCGATGGGGTTTTGCCATATTGCCCATACTGATCTCAACTCCTGAGCTCAAGCAATCTATCCACCTTCGTCTCCCAAACTGCTAGAATTACAGGCAGGAGCCTCCATGCCCGCCCTGAGAAAGGGAAATTCGTGATGCTACTATTGCAGTGACACCGGCAGGCACTAAAACCTTGCACATTTTGCTAAATACTTTTTTATCTCATATTGAAAATGCAGGATGGTGTGGTGGCTAATGCCTGTAATCCCAGCACTTTGGGAGGTTGAGGCAGGTGGATCGCCTGAGGCCAGTTGTTTGAGACCAGTCTGGCCAACATGGCAAAAGCCCGTCTCTACTAAAAATACAAAAATTAGCCGGGCGTGGTGGCAGATGCCTGGTGCCTATAATCCCAGCTACTCAGGAGGATGATGCAGAGGAATCACTTGAACCTGGGAGGCAGAGGTTGCAGTGAGCCGAGATCATGCCACTGCCCTCCAGCCTTAGCAACAGAGCGAGACTCAGTCTCAAAAAAAAAGAAAATGCAGCTTTTAGGCCAGGTGCAGTGGCTCACATTTGTAATCCCAGCACTTTTGGAGACTGGGGCTGGCAGGTCACTTGAGCTCAGGAGTTTGAGACTAGCCTGGGCAATGTGGCAAAACCCCGCATCTATAAAAATTAGCTGAGTGTGGTGGTGTGTCCCTGTAGTCCCAGGCAGGAGAAATGGCTTGAGCTTGGGAGACAGGTTGCAGTGAGCTGAGATAGCACATTGCTCTTCAAGCCTGGGCAATGGGAGTGAAACTCTGTCCCAGAAATCAGTCAGTCAATCAATCAATCAATCAGTCCATCAAATGCAGCTTTTACATAGGTACAAGATGCTAAAAGAAAGACTTACCTGGCCGGGCGCGGTGGCTCAAGCCTGTAATCCCAGCACTTTGGGAGGCCGAGACGGGTGGATCACGAGGTTGAGAGATCGAGACCATCCTGGTCAACATGGTGAAACCCCGTCTCTACTAAAAATACAAAAAATTAGCTGGGCATGGTGGTGCGTGCCTGTAATCCCAGCTATTCGGGAGGCTGAGGCAGGAGAATTGCCTGAACCCAGGAGGCGGAGGTTGCAGTGAGCTGAGATCGCGCCATTGCATACCAGGCCATATCCAGCCTGGGTAACAAGAGCGAAACTCTGTCTCAAAAAAAAAAAAAAAAAAAAAAAAAAAAGACTTACCTATAACTCTAATATGATTTGAGAAAAAGTGAAGTCATTATGTGACAACTTAAAGCAAAAGGAAGGTGGAAAATCTAAAACTGGAGAATTTAATGCCAGAAAAAGGTGGTTTGATAATTGTAGAAAGAAACTTGGTTTAAAAAATGTCAAGATAAAAAGAGAACCAGCTTCTGCCAACCAAGAGGCAGCAGGGGAGTTTCCAGGTGCCATTAAGAAAATCAGGAGAAAGGTTATCTGTCTGAATGAGTTTTTAATGCTGATGAAATGCCCTATTCTGAGGGAAAAAAAGCCACAAGAGACATTAGGAAGAGAAGTGCACATCTGGAATTGAGACAGGAAGGCATAGACTAACTATTTTGTGCTAATGCAGTCATGTTTATAATCGGGACTGTCCTTATCTATAATGCTGCTAACCCCTGAGCCTTGGAGGGAAAAGATAAATAGCAGCTGCCAATTTTTTCATTGTACAGCAAGATGACCTAGCCCCTTTTCTGGATTGGTGTGATTCATGCTTTGTTCCTAAAGTCAGGAAGTACCTGGACAGTAAGGGACTGCCTTTCAAAGTTTTTTGAGGCTGGGCTCAGTGGCTGACAACTGTAATCCCAGCACTTTGGGAGGTTGAGGCAGTGGATCACTTGAGGTTAGGAGTTTGAGACCAGCCTGGCCAACATGGTGATACTCCATTTCTACTAATACAAAAATTAGCCAGGCATGGTGGTGTGTGCTTGTAATCCCACCTACCCAGGAGGCTGAGGTACAAGAATCACTTGAATCTTGGAGGCAGAGGTTGCAGTGAGCCAAGATCATGGCACTGCACTACAGCCTGGGCAACAGAGTAAGACTCAGTCTCAAAAAAAAAAAAAAAAGTTTTATTGATATTGCACAGTACCCCTGGCTACCTGAAATCTCATGAATTCAATACCAAAGGTGTGGAAGTAGTCTACTTACCTCCAGACACAGTGTCTTTATCTTGATCTAGGGCCTCTAGATCAAAGGGTCACACGGACCTTTTAAAGCTCACTATACATGGTACTCTATGGAAAGGATTGCCAAGTCTGTGAAAGAACCCTGATGGAACATCAAGAAAGCGTGGAAGGATCACACCATTGAAGGTGCCATCAATGTTACAGAAATAACCATGAAAGCCAACAAGCTTGAAACAATAAATTCTGCTGGGGAAAACTATCCATATGTTTTGCATGACTTACAGGATTTACGATAGATAATACCATTGAGAAAGTCATGAAAGAGGGCTCATGCCTGTAATCCCAGCACTTTTGGAGACCCAGGCCAGTGGATCACCTTAGGTCAGGAGTTCGAGACCAGCCTGGCCAACATGGTAAAACCCTGCCTACTAAAAATACAAAAATTATCCAGGCGTGGTGGCGGACGCCTGTATTCTCAGCTACCTGGGAGGCTGAGTCACAAGAATCGCTTGAGCCTGGGAGGCAGAGTAAGCTGAGATCGTGCCACTGCATTCCAGTCTGGGAGACAGAGAGTTTGTCTCAAAAAAAGAGGAAAATCATGAAAGAGGTGTAGATGTGGCAAAAAAAATGAGAGGTGAAGGGTTTCAAGATAGCGATCTTGGAGAAATTCAAGAACTAATAGATAAGACACCAGCGAAATTAAGAGAAGACAGCTTGACAGAGCTCAGTGCTTCCAAACCAGTGCTAGATCATGAGGAAGAAGATGTAGAAGAAACAGTGCCAGAAGATTGATGTTAGTCTCCCAGAAAGTTTCCAGTTATTTAAGACTGCTTTGACGTCTTTTAGACATAGATCTTTCTATAATACTGGCACTGAAATAAAAGCAAATGGTGGAAGAAAGGTTGGTACTATATAGAAACATTTTTAGAAAAATTTGCAGAAATATCAGAAACAAAGTACAGTATATTTTCATAAAGTTATACTGAGTATGCCTGCCTCTCCTGCCTTCCCTTCCATCTCTCGCTACCCCTGAGAGAGAAGACCAACTCCTCCTCCTCTTCCTCTTCCTCAGCCTACTCACTGTGAAGACAAGAATGAAGGCTTTTTTTTTTTTTTTTTTTTTTGAGACAGAGTTTCACTCTTGTTGCCCAGGCTGGAGTGTAATGGCGTGATCTCGGCTTGCCACAACCTCTGCCTCCCGGGTTCGAGCAATTTTCCTGCTTTAGCCTCCCGAGTAGCTGGGATTACAGGCATGCGCCACCATGGCTGGCTAATTTTGTATTTTTAGTAGAGACGGGGTTTCTCCATGTTGGTCAGGCTGGTCTCGAACTCTTGACCTCAGGTGATGCACCCACCTTGGCCTCCCAAAGTGTTGGGGTTACAGGTGTGAGCCATAGCTCCTGGTCATGAAGACTTTTTTGATGATCTGCTTTCATTTAATGGATTCGCTTATGTATTTTCTAAGAATACAGTATATGAAACATATAACATATAAAATATATGTTAATTGACTGTTTATGTGCCTTCTGGCCAGTGGTAAGCTATTATCAGTTAAGTTTTTGGGTGAGTCAAAACTTATACATGCCTGTATTCTGTCCTAGAACTTTGGAAGGCCAAGGTGGACGGATCGCTTGAGGCCAGGCACTCGAGACCAGCCTGAGCAACATGGCAAAACCCCATATCTAGTAAAAATACAAAAATCATCCAGGTGTGTTGGGGGCTGCAGTGAGCTGAGATCATGCCACTGCACTCTGGCCTGGGTGACAGAGTGAGACTCTGTCTCAAAAAAAAAAAAAAAAGACCCTAAAACCTTATACCTTAGCGATCTCCTCCTCGGCATCATGGCCGCCCTTAGACCCCTTGTGAAACCCAAGATCGTCAAAAAGAGAACCAAGAAGTTCATCTGGCACCAGTCAGACCGATATGTCAAAATTAAGCATAACTGGTGGAAACCCAGAGGTATTGACAACAGGGTTCATAGAAGGTTCAAGGGTCAGATCTTAATGCCTAACATTGGTTATGGGAGCAATAAGAAAACAAAGCACATGCTGCCCAGTGGCTTCTGGAAGTTCCTGGTCCACAACATCAAGGAGCTGGAAGTGCTCCTGATGTGCAACAAATCTTACTATGCTGAGATCGCTCACAATGTTTCCTCCAAGAACTGCAAAGCCATCGTGGAAAGAGCTGCCCAGCTGGCCATCAGAGCCACCAACCACGATGCCAGGCTGTGCAGCGAAGAAAATGAGTAGACGGCTTATGTGCACGTTTTGTGTTTAAATAAAACTGGCATTTTCCTTCCTTAATTAAAAAAAAAAAAAACCTTATACTTTTTTTTTTTTTTTTATGGAGACAGGGTCTTGCTCTGTCACCCAAGCTGGAGTGGAGTGCAGTGATATAATCTTAGTTTACTGCATCCTTGACCTCCCGAGCTCAAGTGATCTTCCCAATTCAGCCTCCCTAGCAATGGGGACTACAGGCCTTTGTCACCACACCCAGCTAATTTTTGTATTATTTGTATCGATGGGGTTTCACCATGTTGCCCAGGCTAGTCTCAAACTCCTGGGCTCAAGCAGTATGCCCACCTTGGCCTCCCAAAGTGCTGGGATTACAGGCGCAAGCCACCATGGTCGGCCTATACATGGATTTTGATTGCATTGGGGGTTGGGGGGACTCGGCATCCCTTCACATTGTTCAAGGGTCAGCTGTACTTTTCCACTTCCAATCTTTATGTCCTTTATTTTTTGTTCCTAATTGCACTATCTAGGGCCTGTAGTACAATGTTGAATATAAGTTTTAAGTTTGGGCATCTTTGCCTTGTTCTGCCTCATTGGGAGAAAGCATTCAGTCTTTTACCATACATATGATGTTAGCTATCGTGTTTTCATAGACATCCTTTGTTCTTGGTTTGCTGAGTTTTTTTTTTTTTAAAGATGGGGTTTCACCATGTTGGTCAGGCTGGTCTTGAACTCCCGACGTCTGGTGATCTGCCTGCCTTGGCCTCCAAAGTGCTTGGATTACAGGTGTGAGCCACCAAGCCTGGCCTTGCTTGCTGAGTTTTTTAAAAAATAAAATAGCTGTTGCATTTTAGCAAATGCTTTTTTTTAAACATCTGTTGAAATGATCATATGATTTTTCTCCTTTATTCTGTTAATGTTGGCAAATTGTAATTGGTTTTTCCAATGTTAAACCATCTTACATTTCTGGGACAAACTCTGTATTTTAGTGATTGGTTATCCTTTCTATAATGTGGAATTCAATTTGCTAGTCTTTGTAAAGTATTTTTATATCTATATTCATGAGGAGTATTGATTTATAGTTTTCTTTTTCCTTTTTTTTTTTGAGATGCAGTTTTGCTCTTGTTACCCAGGCTGGAGTGCAATGGTGCAATCTCGGCTCACCGTAACCTCCACCTCCTGGGTTCAGGCAATTCTCCTGCCTCAGCCTCCTGAGTAGCTGGAATTACAGACACGCGCCACCATGCCCAGCTAATTTTTTGTATTTTTAGTAGAGATGGGGTTTCACCACGTTGACCAGGATGGTCTTGATCTCTTGACCTCGTGATCCACCCGCCTCGGCCTCCCAAAGTGCTGGAATTACAGGCGTGAGCCACCGTGCCTGGTTGATTTATAGTTTTCTTATAATACCTTAGTCTGGTTTTGGTTGCCCCAGAATGAGTTGGTACTTCTTTCCTTCTCTTCTGTTTTTTAGAAAAGTGTGTAAGGCCAGACACAATGGCTCATGCCTATAATCTCAGCACTTTGGGAAGCTGAGACAGGTGGATTGCTTGAGCTCAGGAGTTTGAGACCAGCCTGGGCAACATGGCGAAACTCTCTCTCTACAAAAAATACAAAAAATTAGCTGGGCATTATGTCACATGCCTGTAGTCCCAGCTGCTTGGGAGGCTGAGGTGGGAGGATCATGTGAGCCTAGAAGGTCAAGACTGCAGTGAGCTATGATGGCACTACTGTACTCCAGCCTGAATGAAAGACTGAGATTCTGTCTCAAAAAAAAAAAAAAAAGTTTGTGTAGAATTGATGTTATCATTTCTAGAGCCAGGGACTCACTCTGTCACGTAGGCTGGAGTACAGTGGTGCCATCATAGATCACCACAGCCCTGAATTCTTTGCCAAAGCCTTCTTCCACTTCATTCTCCAGAGTATCTGGGACTATAAGTGTGTGCCACCAAGCCTAGCTAATTATTATTGTTATTATTTTTATAGAGACAGGATCTTGCTACATTGCCCAGTCTGGTTTTGAAGAGAGGCCTCCTACTTTGGCCTCTCTTAAATGTTTGATATTATTTAAATGGTGTGGCTAGAAGCTATGTTGAAATGGGCCAAGGAACGACAGATAGATAAGGAAATAGATAGCCAGGATGGACAACTTTGAGAGTTCTGACTATGAAGAGAAGAGATGATAGTTACTAGAGAGACGTAAAGGTCGAATCAGGCGTTAAAGAAGTACAGTTGTTTTCTTGATTGACTTTATCTTTTAAATTTGCTTCTTTGTTACTTAATTCTAATTCAGATACATCAAGAAATCTGGAATTTCATGAAATACACAGCACTGGGAATGAACCACCTTTGCTGATTATGATTGGCTACAGTGATGGAATGCAGGTCTGGAGCATCCCTGTAAGTATGCATATGGTTGAATACCTAAAACATTATACTTTCCAGCATGTTAGCTTATGTGAAATCTGTAGATACTTTTTTTTTGAGAGAGTCTCACTCTTTCACCCAGGCTGGAGTGCAGTGGTGCGATCTCAGCTCACTGCAATCTCCACCTCCCATGTTTAAGCGTTTCTTCTGCCTCAACCCCCCGAGTGTCTGGGATTACAGGCGTACATCACCATGTCCAGGTAATTTTTGTATTTTGTATATATATTTATATATATCTTGTTTTGAGACAGAGTTTTGCTCTTGTTGCCCAGGCTGGAGTGCAATGGCATGACCTCAGCTCACTGTAACCTCTGCCTCCCAGGTTCAGGCGATTCTCTTGCCTCAGCCTCCCGTGTAGCTGGGATTACAGGCATGCGCCACCATGCCTGGCTAATTTTGCTGTTTTTTTTTTTTTTTTTTTTTTTTTTTTTAGGTGGAGTCTAGCCCTGTTGCCCAGGCTGGAGTGCAGTGGCGTGATCTTGGCTCTCTGCAACCTCTGCCTCCCAGGTTCAAGTGATTCTCCTGCCTCAGTCTCTCAAGTAGCTGGGACTACAGGTGTCTGCCACCATGCCTGGTTAATCTTTTGTATCTTTGGTAGTGACAGAGTTTCACCATGTTAGCCAGGCTGGTCTCAAATTCCTGACTTTGTGATCTGCCACCTTGGCCTCCCAAAGTGCTGGGATTATAAGCATGAGGCACTGTGCCTGGCCCTAATTTTGTATTTTTAGTAGAGATGGGGTTTCTCTATGTTGGTCAGGCTTGTCTTGAGCTCCTGACCTCAGGTGATCTGCCTGCCTCAGCCTCCCAAAGTGCTGGGATTACAGGCATGAGGCACTGCGCCTGGCCCAATTTTTAACACTTTTAGATGGAGACAGGGTCTTACTGTGTTGCCTAGGCTGGTCTTGAATTCCTGGGCTCAAGTGATCCTCCCACTTGGCCTCCTAAAGTGTGGACATTATAGGCATGAGCCACTGTGCTTGGCCAATTCTATTCTTTTTTTTTTCCTTGCCGGTTGCGGTGGCTCATGCCTGTAATCCCAGCACTTTGGGAGGTCGAGGTGGGTGGATCACAAGGTCAGGAGATCGAGACCATCCTGGCCAACATAGTGAAACCCCATCTCTATTAAAAAAAAAAAAATTCTATTCCTATAATTGTCATATAATTAAGTATCAAAGATGTGGAATTTTTTTTTTAACTTGGCTTTACTTTTTAGAGGTAGAAGAATCATGCCGTTATGTCATGAAATTAGAAGTATTCTTTTTCTTTTGTCTTTTGGGAAGTGTAGCTGACATTTTTCAGGGACCTGCAATTTTCTTTGTAATTTCGGTATTGTTCCAAAGTAATGGAAAAAGTACTTAAAAATTGGCAGTGTTTTTTTTTCTTACTGGGAGAAATATCTGGGTTGTGATAAAAATGAAAGGATTTCTTAAGTATAATTTTTTCTTACTAATAGAGAGTACATTTTCCTTCATTATGCTGTTTGTTGACAGAATTGAAGACAACGAGGACGCTATACCTTTAACGAGAGGGTTGAGCCCTCTGGTTAGGGGTGTGGACTGGATTGAACACATTCCTTTGGTGGTACCCAGGTTGCTTTAACTGCCCACTTGTTTTGGTTATAATTAGAGGTATTACTTTTAATAGTTTTGAAGTTAACTTCTGTTTATCTTTGAGTAATTAAGGTTTATTCCTCCTTAGGCCTAGATTGTATTTTGAGAGACTTGAATAATTTTTTTTAATGGAATTTTTCTTTGACCAATTGTATATTGTTGTAATACCCCTATTTCATGAATTAGGGCCTGGTGCAGAGGCTCATACCTGTAATCCCAGCACTTTGGGAGGCCAAGGCAGGCAGATCATTTGAAGTCAGGAGTTCGAGACTAGCCTGACCAATTCTGTCTTTACTAAAAATACAGAAAAAGTTAGCTGGGTGTGGTGGTGCATGTCTGTAGTCCCAGCTACTCTGGAGGCTGAGGCAGGAGAATCGCTTGAACCTGGGAGGGGAAGGTTACAGTGAGCCAAGATCACGCCACTGCGCTCCAGCCTGGGTGACAGAGCAAGACTGTCTCAAAAAACAAATAAATATAGTGAGACTTTCTCTCTACAAAAATTTTTAAAAAATTAGCCAGGCATAGTGGCATGTGCCTGTGGTTCCAGCTACTTGAGAGGATGAGGCAGGAGGATTGCCTGAGCCTGGGAGGTTGAGGCTGCAGTGAGCCATGATTATGCCATTGCACTCCAGCCTGGGTGACAGAGTGAGACCTTGTCTCAGTCAATCAATCAATTAGTCAATCAATCAATGAGACAATGACAATCTGGAAAAATAAGATGCTTATGTTCCATTGATTGAGCTCTCTATATGGTCAAAGAGGTTTATATACATATTATCTCATCTGATGTAGAAGTTATCTTGTTTTACAGGTGGTAAGATCACGCTGCTTTTAAGAGGTGGAACTAGAATTTAAACTAGTTCTGTCTGGATTCCAATTCAAAGCCCATAATCTAAGAGCTGTACTTAATCGGTTTTCAAATATGACAGCTAAAGTTATGACATGCGAGTAGTTTTGTAGTTTAGGTTTAGTTTTTGTAGAAGTGAAGGGAATTTCCCCCTCTCCCTCTGAAATAAATTGGCAATAGATTAACAGGAGGAAAAGCATACATGTGCACAAGAGCCATACAAAATATGAGACTCTCAGTAGGGCCTGATAGCTGAAGCTTCCAAAGTACTTTCTTCATGAGGAGAGGGAGATGGAGGAATATAGTCAATTTTGAGAGTTAGTAAATGATTCTCAGGAAAGTTGAATGGGCCCAAAGAGCAGAAAATTGTTTATAAGTGGTTCTCTTGCGAAATGGGATCTGAGAAGAGATGATAGCCTGTGACAAAGTCTGTCTAGATGTGGTGTCATTTCTTGGCTTTCCTTCCTGCAATTTGATATTTGGAAATTAAAAAAAAGGATGGTTGTGTCTGTACTGAACAGGTATAGAGTTTTCTTTCTTGTCATTATTTACTAAATGATGCAGTATGATTACTTACATAGCATTTACATTGTACTAGGTATTATAAGTAAGAGATAAAGTATATGAGAGGATGTGTATAGCTTGTATGCAAATACTATGCCATTTTATGTAAAGGACTTGAGCCTCATGGTATCATTTGGTATCTATGGGTGCTTTGTGGAACCAGTCCCTCACAGATGGTGAGGGACAGTTGTATTTGCTTTTTTTGTTTGTTTGTTTAGTTTTGAGACTGAGACTCACTCCGTTGTCCAGGCTGGAGTGCAGTGGTGCCATCTCGGCTCACTGCAACCTCTGCCTCCTGGGTTCAAGTGATTTTCGTGCCTCAGCCTCCCGAGTAGCTGGAACGACAGGTGTGAGCCATCATGCGCTAATTTTTATATATTTTTAAGTAGAAATAGGGTTTCACCATGTTGGCCAGGCTGGTTTCAAACTCCTGACCTCAGGTAGTCTACCCACCTTGGCCTCCCAGAGTGCTGGGATTAAAGGTGTGAGCTACTGTACCCGTCCTGCATTTTAAAAATAAAGATGAGGTCTCACTATGTTGCCCAGGTTGGTCTTGATGTCTGGCCTCAGGCAGTCCTTCTGCCATGGCCTCCCAAAGCACTGGTATTACAGATGTGAGCCATCATGCCTGGCTGTGTATTTGCTTTTGAGTAAATGTAGGTTGGCAGAAAATCAACCCTTGTCCAAACCTTAGCGTAGTTTTTGCTTCTAGTATGTGCTCAGGACTTCCTTTAGTTGAGTTTAATATAACTATCCCACTGTGGCTCATGCCTGTAATCCCAGCACTTTGGGAGGCTGAGGCAGGCAGATAACTTGCGGTAAGGAGTTCAAGACCAGCCTGGCCAACATGGTGAAACTCCGTCTCTACTAAAAATATAAAAATTAGCCAGGCATGGTGGCAGGCACCTGTAATCCCAGCTACTCGGGAATTTGAGGCAGGAGAATTGCTTGAACCCAGGAGGTGGAGGTTGCAGTGAGCTGAGATGCACCACTGCATTATTGCCTGGGTGACAGTGTGTGAGACTCTGTCTCAAAAAGAAAGATAAAACTGTCCATCTTGGAGTCTCAGGTTAAGAAAATGAGCATATCATGGTTAAACATTTAAGCAAATTGTCTGTTGAAGTACATAGATATGAATGGAACTTAGATGATGCCTAAGAATATTATTAATTAGAGTCAGCTCAAAAGCAGAACTATGCAGTAGTTTACTGCCCAATCTCTACCGCTTTGTAAATGAGATGGCTGCAGGAAAGCACCAGCTTTCCTAGCTTTCCTGAGCTCTCACAGCCCTTCTTTCAACACACCTGATGTAACATAGAATGATTGTTATGCTTGTGTTCTGGATAAACAATCCTTTTTCAACTCATGCCTAACAATGTTATTGCCTCTTTTTTGGTGAGGTAAATATAGGCTTTCTTGCTTAAAATTTTTAATTAAAAAAATCAAAGGTATCTTTGTATATATTTTAAAAACCAAATAGTTTTGTGAGATTCAAATATGAAAAAAATGTTCTATACTCTACCTTTCATCACTCCTTCAAATCTAGTAGTTATTGTCATTTTAGTATTTATTTCAATCATTTCAAAATATGATACTTGTTATTTATTTTTATTTTGAGATGGAGTCTCACTGCAACACCCAGGCTGGAGTGCAGTTGTGCGATCTCAGCTCACTGCAACCTTCGCTCCTCAAGTTCAAGCAATTCTCCTGCCTCAGCCTTCTGAGTAGCTAGGACTCCAGGTGCCCACTACCACCAGATTTTTGTATTTCTAGTAGAGACAGGGTTTCACCATATTGGCCAGGCTGGTCTTGAACTCGTGACCTCAAGTTATCCGCCTG